CACGCATGCACGACAAAAACTTCATTGATTGGATTATAGCAATTAATTTGGAGGTGTATGAGACTGTATGAAACTGCTACCTCATCTTCAGTTTATTAATGACTGTTAAAGTATTATGCAAGGAATGTTGACTCTACAAAATCAGATAAGCATTACAAAGGATTTTTTTTAAGTGCCAAAGTAATTTATTGAGGAAATTTTCCACACTCAAGTTGCAATACAATAGTTATGTAAATACATTTTCAAATCTAGTGATTATTATTTTGCATATTCACACTTTACTTTTATTACCAGAATTCATAAAAAAAAAAAAAAATCTAATACATGCAGTTTTGTTAAACTAGCCAAGTGACTTGAAAGCAAAAACAAAGAAAAGCAATGGTAGCATGTGTCGTGACTTTCAAATATACCTAACAGTGTTGACATTTGCCTGGGTACCATGGCAATTCCTGCACTCACTCACTGCTGTTGTCATCACCCTAACAGTGTAGCATTACAGTAGATTATAGCTCCCCACATCACTTTACATCACATTCTGTGTGATTATAGTCTAACATATATGGCAGACAGAAAAAACACTCGACATAAAAAATGTTTACTAAAAGATGGCAGAAATGTTTTAGTGAACTAGACTTTATCATAAGACTTGAAATGAATGCTAGGAGGATTTAGAAATATGCATTTTTTTCTGTCTCGCTAGCAATTTGGCTAAAGTAACATCTATAAAGCCTTGCTTTGGTAAATTAGTCTTTCCTCTTGCTTGTTTGTAGCAGTGTGCTAGAAGCTGGGTTGGGTTTGGATGACTTTCAGCCCTAATTTGAAATACTTAGAGGAATTATCGGTAGAGGTATGGCAATGGTTTAGCATCCGCCATTGACTGGTGTCAATCATCCCTTTAAGGAGCCTTTTGTGTGTGGGTGTGAGTGCCCACAGGTCTGGCTGGGGTGCTGGAGATCAACGGGGAGAGCCGGGGCAGCTTCCCCGATTGCTAAGGCCTGGGTAGGCCTGGAGTTGCTTGCTGCTTTGTCTTGCTCTGCTGGAGGATCAGTGAGTGCTGAATTCGGCTCGGGTGTCGGAGCTTAAGAAGGGGTGAGCTGTGCTAGCTACCCGGGAACGAGGGGAGCCTGTGGTCCAATACGCGAGCCGTGAGGTGTCTGGTATCAACCAATCAGGTCTTGGTATGCGTCTTCGAGAAGCTGCTGATGGTGAGGGCGAGAGGACAGGCTGTGTGGACCTGGACCCAACCTAGGGGAAGTATGCCGCGCTGCAGGTTGTGGGGGTCAGCTACAGGTACTCCCCCTCCAGTGAGGGAGCTAAGCGAGTGAGCGATAGCCGTGATACTCCAGAAGGCTGGGTATTTGTGTCACTCCGAAAAGTCACCAGTATGGCAATGGATTTGCATCCACCATAGGACTGGTGTCAATCATCTCTTTAAGGAGCTTTTGTGTGCAATTGTGAGTGCCCACAGGTCTGGCTGGGGTGCTGGAGATCGACGGGGAGAGCCGGGGTGGCTCCCCCGACGACCAAGGCCTGGGTAGGCCTAGTTGCTGCTGCTGTGTCTTGCTCTGCTGGAGGATCGGCGAGTGCTGAACTTGGCCTGGGTGCTGGAGCTTAAGAAGGGGTGAGCTGTGCCAGCTACCCAGGAAGGAGGGGAGCCTGTGGTCCAATAGATGAGCTGTGAGGTGTCCGGTGTCAACCAATCAGGTCTCGGTATGCGTCTTCGAGAAGCTGCTGATGGTGAGGGTGAGAGGACAGGCTGTGTGGACCTGGACCCAACCTGGGGGAAGTATGCCACGCTGCAGGTTGCAGGGGTCGGCTACAGAGGGAGAGTTGTAGGTCTAGCAGCTCTCTTTTGTTTCTTTAAGAATCCTGAGGTTGCTACTTTATCTGTGAAACGAGAGGAACACTAGAACCTCTCCCATGTCTAGCCATGGTGCTCCCTTTAAACTATAAACACCCTTTCTAAAGGATATCCATTTAGTTGTAGTTTGTTTTTGATATTCTAGTTGGTGAGTTTTTAGCACAAAACCTGAGGCAGAATTTATCTTGGTAGACTATATACTGAGATATCCTCCAAAATTGGTAATTATTCTCGGTTCATAGAGGTGCGGAGAGCCTATTTATTGAAGGGTCATTGACCTATGCTGATGACTGAGGAGTACATATTTTCCATGCATCAGCTTGAGCTGATAATGGCTTTGACAGGCCCACGTACAGGGCTAACAGTGAAATTTCATCCCTGGTGTTCACATGATGATGCATTTCCCTTCTCCTCTTCCCCCATTGCTGCTCCTGACATGAGGTCATTCTTTTATGTTTGTTTGGTATTCTAACTTTTGCAAATCACTCCCCTGGGGGTTTGTAAAGATGAGTGACCCAAACCCCCTCCTGGAAGTCATCCCTCCACCCTCCCCTCTCTGCCCCATCTATGCCTACCCATCCCTCCTCCAAGTCTTCCCACCTCTCTTCCCCCTGTACCCCACCTGATGCCTATCCTCCCTTCTCCCCAAGGTCTTCCCTCCCCCTTCCCCCTCTGCCCCACCTGCTGCCTACACCCCTCCTCCCCAAGGTCTTCCCGTTCCCCCTCCCCCTCTGCCCCACCTGCTGCCTACACCCTCTCCTCCTCCAGGTCTCCCCCCCCCCCTCCCCTTCTGCCTCACCTACTGACAATTCATTCAAGGTGGTTTATGTCCGAGGAAAGGAGATGGTGGTTAAAGAGTTGCTGTGGGCATACAAAAGATATCACCATGTGATTCTAATCAACTCAATGAAGAGGGGTGTGGTTTGGCATGAAGGTTTACTACAAATGTAAAAGTGAAGGTGCTGGTGCTGTCTACACCATGCATTCAAAATAAACATGGGCCAGGACCACGGCAACATGCCTGCCAGCAAGAAAGTAGAGATTGACCTTATGACTGTGCCTGCTTCTTCAAGCAGGGTCATGAGCTGTACCTGGACAACTGGTAGAGTTCACATAAGCTCTTAGATTACCTGCTGTCAAGGAAAACAAATGGTGTGGGGACAGTTCAGCTGAATTGAAGTCATGTCGAAGGACCTCAAAGTGAGCGCCCACTGAGACATTGACTTCTGGACTTTAGCAATAGCAACAGGGATATTGTCCATGTTGTGGATGGATCGGAAACAGATGAATATGCTTTTGACTATTCATGGCCCAGACAAGGTTGACCTATCCCCGAACCACCGTGAAGTCCAGAAGAAGCCCCAGTCTGTCCTCAACTATGTGGGACTGAAGGGGGTTGACCCATTCGACCAGTTGGCATTGTCATACTCCATCATCAGGAAGAGCAACAAGTGGCTCAACATGGCAGTAGTGAATGAGTATGTTGGCCACAGGGTGATGGGTACCACCCTCAGTCAACTTAACCCCTTGGACCCAGATGATGTTGTGGTCAGTCTAACATATATGGCAGACAAAAAAAACACAACATAAAACATGTTTACTAAAAGATGGCAGAAATGTTTTAGTGAACTGGAGTTTATCGTAAGACGAAATGAATGCTAGGAGGCTAAAATGTGTTGTGACTTTCAAATATACCTAACAGTTTTGACATTTGCCTAGGTACCATGGCAATTCCTGCACTTACTCACTGCTGTTGTCATCACCCTTACAGTGATGACAACACTGACACCAGTGATGACACCTCCCTGCCACTGGAACACCCCACAGCTGTGTCTGCAGCAGCAAGTACCCCAGGGCCATATCCTGGTCTTCAACCCAGGGAACAAGTACTACTGGTGCCATAACTGTTGAATAAGGTGAAATGCAAGGAAGGAGATGCAATACAGGTAGTCCAGTATGACATCTCTGTGTGCAGCAGATTATTTCAATTTGTGGTACAGCAACCAGTAGCAAGGGGCTACCAATGTGCAGCATCACCTCCACCTCTCTGATAGCAGCAGGTTCCATCATGCCATCTCCAGTAGCACCAAGTTCCATCATGCCACCTCTAGTGACAGCAGGTTCCATCATGCCACCTCTAGTGACAGCAGGTTCCATCACACCACCTCTAGCGATGGCAGGTTCCATCACACCACCTCTAGCGACGGCAGGTTCCATCACACCACCTCTAGTGACAGCAGGTTCCATCACACCACCTCTAGCGACGGCAGGTTCCATCACACCACCTCTAGCGACGGCAGGTTCCATCACACCACCTCTAGTGACAGCAGGTTCCATTATGGCAATGGATTGGTATCCGCCATAGACTGGTGTCAATCATCTCTTTAAGGAGCTATTGGGTGTGGGTGTGAGTGTCCACAGGCATGGCTGGTGTGCTGGAGATCGATGGGGAGAGCCGGGGCGGCTCCCCTGTTGGGTAAGGCCTGGGTAGGCCTGGTTGCTGCTCGGGCTGTGTCTTGCTCGGCTGGAGGATCGTGAGTGCTGAACTCGGCCCGGGTGCGGGAGCTTAAGTGGGTCTGCGCTGTGCCAGACACCCGGGAACAAGGGGAGCCTGCGGTCCAATGGGCAAGCTGTCCGTGGTCAATCAATCAGGTCTCGGTATGCGTCGTCGAGAAGCTGCTGATGGTTAAGGCAAGAGGACAGGCTGTGGACCTGGACCCAACCTGGGGGAAGTATGCTACGCTGCAGGTTGCGGGGGCCGGCTACAGTTACTCCCCCTCCAATGAGGGAGCTAAGCGAGCGAGCGATAACCGTGATACTCCAGAAGGCTGGGTATTTGTGTCACTCCGGAAAGTCACCAGTATGTCAATGGATTTGCATCCGCCATAGACCGGTGTCAATCATCTCTTTAAGGAGCTTTTGGGTGTGGGTGTGAGTGCCCACAGGTATGGCTGGTGTGCTGGAGATCGACAGGGAGAGCCGGGGCGGCTCCCCCGTTGGCTAAGGCCTGGGTAGGCCTGGTTGTTGCTCGTGCTGTGTCTTGCTTGGCTAGAGGATCATGAGTGGTGAACTCGGCCCGGGTGCGGGAGCTTAAGGGGGTCTGAGCTGTGCCAGCCACCCGGGAACGAGGGGAGCCTGC